TTTTTTTTTTTTTGTGTGTGATGACCAAGTATAGAGGTATGTCTTTTCTATTCTTAAATTCTAGGTAGCTGGGTGTGTCGTGATAGGATGCTTTGAACAGTATTAAGAGTCATAAGTTGTTACATATTTTTGTTTTTTTGTTTTTGTGTTTTTGGGACAGGGTTTCTCTGTGTAGACCAGACTGCCCTGGAACTAGCTCTATAAACCAGGCTGATTTTGAACTCAGAGACCCACCTGCCTCTGTCTCCAAGTGCTGGAATTAAAGGCATGTACCACCTTGCCGCACAATATTTTTTATTGAAAATATTTTTTAAACATATTCTCCTCATGGTGCCCCTCCTGTGTCTTTTCCCAGATCTTCCCTACCTCCCCCCAATCCAACTTAGTACCTACTTTCTCTCTTTAGAAAACAAACAAGCCAAACACATCAGAGTTAAAAAAAAAAAGCATGTATACACACATATACAGACCATAAACATACAAAATCAAAAATCCTAATGCATAAGCAAATAATCAATAAGATTTAAAAAATTAAGCAAACAAAGCAATCTGGGTCAAAAAACCAAATCTCCCCAAATGCCCTTGAGTTCATTTTGTTTTGGCTGTCCACTTCTGGGTGTGTGTCCTGGCCTTAAGATATGGTGTCACTTAACTTTATGTTGGAAGTAAAGAAAAGTTCATGTCCAGATACTAAGTAGGTATCTCTAGATTTTTACTGTTCTTTGTTCCTTTGACTATATTGTGTCTGTTTTGTGTGAAATAAACATAGCAGAACCAGGAAAAAAGTTTTTCCTATAATTGATAGTGCTGTTTTTGGCACTACCAGGAGGCTGTTGTGGTCCATGGACACATCACTAGTAGCAGTAATCACAACTTGTAGGGTGTTCCTCAAGGCTCTCACTCAGACTCAACCTGGTGGAATGATGTACTTCAGGAGGTTGTGTGCAGGAGGCGATTAAATCAGCTTTGTAAATGTGGGGCTTTAATGAAAAACTATAGAGTTTATTCTCAAGGAGCCTCTAGTAGAGGACAGCTAACAGTCAGTAAAACAGTGTGGGTCACACAGAGCCTCAGTGGACCTTTCTAGTCTGCCATTGTTCCCATTCTGTAATATTTTTACCATACACTTTAACCATCCCAGGTATCTCCTGTTGGTTTTCCTCCATTTTGGTTGGCGTTAACTTTTCAAACTGTAGACCAGTCCTTGTCATACTGCCCTTAAAAGCCCTTTGTAGTTGCAGTTGTCTTTCTGGTTTCTGCACCTTCCCCAGCATTTTCCTGGCTTTCATCATCTTTCTCCCTGTTGTTTGACTGTACATCTTTATGTTTTATTACTTGTTATAATTTGCTGTGTTTTTACATCTTTCAGTCTTTCTTTAACACAGAGTGAAATAGTGAGCTCTTTTGATTCCAAGAGGCTATTGTTCCCCTGCCATCTGTACCAGTGTGAGTTACTACTTTCTTTTTTTCAGAAGAGTACTAATACAGATTTCAACAAAAAGCAAACTGTTGACTCTTGAGAAATTTTGGGTAGAGAGCATAAGGCATGTTTGTTTGTGGATTCCTTTAGTCTTGGGAGTCTTAGGAATTTACAATTTAGTTACTGCCTTTTCAATACGCTAATTCCCCTGCAGAGCTGCATCAGCTCTTCTATCTGTATCTGAGTAATCATTGTGATAAAATGTAACATATGTGTTAAATGATTAGAAATAAGCAGTTAAGGTCCTGACCTGTCTTTAACTCTCTTTTAGCCTGCTCCTGAGGTTCACAGATGACACCTTTGATCCAGAACTTGCTGCAACAATAGGTGAGCTAAGTTTAAAAGTACAGTAGAAATGCCATATATTTTTATGCCTTTGGACTCTGTTTGTCTTCATCCCTTCCCTTCTTCTCAGCACCTGCACCTGTGGAGTCCTTGTCTGTGAGACTTAGCTTTGGTGTCTATAAAGCCAAGCACTACTGATATTATGGTTTGCACACACATTTTATTCCCGTACTATGGATTATTTTTATTCTGCATCAGATAATAGTAATGTAAATATTTACTGCATACCACCCACTATCATTATAGTGATGAATATAACAAACTTGGTCAAAGTCTGTTAATTGTGTACTTTTAATATTTGCTACAGTATTTATTGTGTATTATAAATTTATATCCTTGATACCATTAGAATTAGGAGCAGTGATACCAAAATCAATTGTGTTATCTGTTCATTTGCAAGTATATAGATGATTAGAGGCCAGAGATTGACATTGGGTTTTCTCCTCTATCACCTTCCATCTTAATCTTTGAGTTAGGGCTTCTCACTGAACCTAGAGTTCTCCAGTCTGGCTAGACTGACTGGTTAGCAAGTCCTAGGTGTTATGGTAAAAGTAAAAAGGTGCTGTTCAGCAAGTGGCTGCAACTGACAGTGGGCCACAAGAAGCTGTG